CTTAATTTGTAATCTATTGCACTTACGAATATTTTGAAACTTATTCTCAAATACACTATACAACTTCATTTTGATTAGACAGAACTCTAATGTGAGATTGTACATTGCTAAAGCTATTGCAATTCATGTTCACAAATCAAACCTTTGCATCCGAAAGAAGTTTGTACGACCACTCTTGCAACTTTGGCCATTGGTATAGGGGAGTTTGTAACAGAACTTTGATAATCTATTTTCGTATTTCTTCCATTTTTTTGTACTTTTTGTATTTTACTTATTCTCAACATTCGTCTTTTGTTTCTTACATAACTACTATACTACTGACCATTCATCAAAATATTTTGTAGTTCATTCTTCCCTTTTTATATATTATGCAACGTGGTAACTGCTTGATTTTCGAATAATTACTTTGATCTCTCGAGGCGGGATCGTGGATGCGCACTACTGAGGAGTCCCATAATAGGACAAAACGGCCGTCCAATGCTTCCAGGTTTTGTATGGTGGTCTAGCTTCAATTGACTCATGATCTCGACTATTAAAAAATTACTAAAATATCCACAAAACCCCTTCTGATACTTTGATTATAATTAATCCTCTTTCTTTCAATTACTCAATGTTAGTTTATAGTCGATATGTGATTATATAATTATTATGTAACTTATCCACTCGATGAGTATTATTTCATTATTAGTGTAGAGCCATGATGAAAAACTAATTGAAAAGAAACTTCTTCGCTCGAGTCGTTTCTTCTTTCTTTACCAGATAATCTTTTGTTTGCTCATTCACTGTTAACTTTAGTAATGAAATCTCGAATAGTTGATCATTTTTGTTTCATTGCCGAACAAATAACTCTATTACTGTGGATCGAACTCAGAACTTTCGGTTTAGCCCTGAAATGCTTAACTTCAAAATCATTGAACTCGTATTCAATGGTGTACATGTATAATTCCAATCAGCTTATGAAATCAGGCGGCCACCTTTCAAATCCTGGGGTGGACATTTATTCCACACATGATATGCTTGAACTCTACCGATCATAGCTTCTGTACAGAATTCTAGGAGTCACGTCTTGAAACTAGACACCAATCAACTAAAGATTTAAAATATGAAAATTCTATAGTCTCAATAAACCCCACTCTACCAATAAACTTTTATTTACGGATTTATTTTTTCTATTAATTAGTAATGAAATGGTCGTAATAAAGTCACTTATTTAGTTCTAACTGAAAAGCAATTGTAATCTATATTTCAATTCATGAACTATTTGAATAAAGAGGGTTTTTTGAATGAAACGGATAATTTCTTTTGTGATTTAGTAGAGTGCATATCTAGCCGTTGTTCATGCTAACAATGAAGAAGTTACAATCAGTATGTGTACTGTTTTTTTCATCCTCTTGTAAAATATATTATGTTCAAATGTTTTTTAAATAAACTGCATTAGAATAATTTTGAAGTTGACAGCAGTTTCAAGTGTATATAGAATATGTTTTTAATATAATTGTTATTAGTGAGGAGAGTTTTCGATATACTTCTAAACAGATCTCTTAGGATTAACCTGTTTACCTTTCGAAAGTGGAATTCAAAACAATCAACAATTTAATTTTGGAATATGTTTGAAATTCTAATCAAACTGCCTCTTTAAAAGTATCTTTCAAAATCATCTATATGGTTAAATAATCAAGCTCAAAAGGAATCACAGATCAAAAAAGGCTTCAGAGATTCAGAAGTTCAAAGTTAACCTTTATGTACAAAGGTAGCTTGTTTAATTTGTTATTTAATTATGACAATAACATTTGAAGTTTCCATGCACTTTATGATATGATCTTTTCTTTATTTTTCAATAGACTATTAAAGGATTTTATAACTTCACCTAGTGACACGAATTTTTTCTGAATGCTGTTTTCATTTCTTCTTTTAATAACACAATGAGCTTGTTTCGTTGTAATTACATTCACTTTGTAGTAAAACTCCGTTAAGTTTTATGAAATAACATTTGAGTTACACAATGATATTTAAACTGAGCCTAATCCTCAACTATCAAAGATGATCTACACCACTTTCACAGTGAGCAAGTAAACTTAAAACCTCATTGACATCTACGGCATAAAATCTATAAAAAGCTTAGATTCGGAAGTAATGAAGTAAGTTTGGGGTATATGAATTCTATTCATTTTATAACTGAAATATATAATATGTTGTTGCTTTATCCCTATTAAATTATCTTTGAAAGGGATTTTATTTTTTCTAAGCTTATGTATACAATCTAGATGTACAAGGAGAAATATGTAACACGCATCGTACACTTCAATTTGTTTACGTTTAATTTTGTTAAGTCCTTTAATAGACTTATCTAACAGATAGTATTGTTCGTGCAGTAACAATTTGTATATTTTGGTATTATTACCATGACCGTATGAACATGTACGCTTGATCACATGTGACAGCCTACGCACATATTCCATGTAATTTGTTTAAATGTTAGTTGCTTTAATCGCTCGATGAATCGTTCGCTTTCTCATTTATGTGTATTTATATCTTATTCATTTATTGGTCTTTTCATTCTATTCTTTATCCGATTCTTAATTCACATATGTATTCACTCGCTCGCATTAACATTTCTGCTCGAATTCTCTTGGTGTGCTTGTGACCTAGTGATCTGTGTTATTCAACAATAATCTGCAGTCGGTGCTTCGTGTTGCCTGCTGCAATTTATACACTGTTGAGATTTATTCAATAATAGTTATCAGGGCGAGTGATATAAGTAGTCCAAGGAATCATCTCAAAGATAATACACCACAAATAAAATGGGGGAAAATTTATAGTTTATAGGGAAGAATTGGATGAAGTTGAGTTCTTTGTGCTAAATAGTTTAATTTCTAGAAACCATTTTCAGTACAAACTTCAGAAAGAAGTATCCAAAAAAACTTCTTCATGAGTAGCTAACATTTTGTTCTATCGATTGTTTATTGTCAACGATTTTCCTATCATTGTCCACAAATTCATTTTTACCTTCCTTAGTTCATCCGTCAGTATAACAGATATAACAAACACATTTATTTTTACTGAGTATGTCAGTCATGTGATTCGATTGTACAACCATCTAAAGCCAGATGGTTAAGTATATTTACATCAGTAAATTGTAATAAATAGAATTAGTTTCAATTCATAGTGATTCGAATTGACTTACCAAGTTCAATGGTAATATCTGACAAGGAACAACTATGAACGTTTAACTATAATTGTTATTGTATAACTATATGAAAGTGAAGATAGTTTTTGAATTCATGAATATACAATGTATTTGAAACAAAATGTTCATTTAACGAGTAAATAAAATGTAATTACGGGAAAAAACAAACATTGAATGAAACATTAGCTTAAAAACATGGAGCAACTCAAACTCTTACCATCAAAACGATCGAATATGTGAAATTCGACACACACGGATGAAAATACGATTCACTACAAATACCATCGATATATTTATTATTTTCTTTATTCAGATTAAATAGTTAAATTCTAGAAAGATTATAAACCCCGAAACTCACACACAATAAACACAGTGAATAATGCATAAATCTTCTCAACATTTATTCTGGTAGAAAATCTTCGAAACAAACATCTTTAAAGCAATTAATCCCTTTGATAAATTTTGATTGTGTAATCAGAAGACGAAGATTATCAGAACTATGTGATGGTATATTAGCGAAATACATTTCGAACAATCTGATCACACATTATTATTATTATTACTCTTATTATTATTATTACCCTTGGCACTTCTTACCCTCATTTCTAGTCTAGTTGACCTTTAATTTTTGTATATAAATGTTCTTAACAAGTACATTATGTGAGTGATCAGATTGTTCGAAATGTATTGCACTCATATACCATCACATGGTTCTGATTATTTTTGTTTTCTTATTAAATTATCGAAAAACATCTTTAAATAAACTAAATACTTTACTAAATTATTTTGTACTATGCTCTACATATTAAAGAATCATAGTTGTTTGAAGTGATGTTTTTTTATTCCTATCCATTACACAAGCTTTAATACTGAATTTATCATATACTGTTTGAATGTTATTTATAATCTTTTAATGGAACAAACATTTTAAGTAATATTTTCAACAAGGATATCTATTAAATAACTGCAAATAATAATATAATATTCAGAAGGGGTTTTGTGGAGATTGTAGTAATTTCAACAGTTGAGATCATGAGTCATTTGACGCTAGACCACCATGGAAAGCCTGGAAGCACTGGATGGCCGTTTCGTCCTATTGTGGGACTCCTCAGAAGTGCTCATCCACGACCCCGCCTCGCAGGATTCGAACCCGAGACCTGTCAGTCTCAACTGTTGAAATTACTACAATCTCCACAAAACCCCTTCTGATACTAATTAACATATGCTCACTAGTGACTGGCTTCAAGAGGTATATCCTGGAGTTCTAGTGAGAAGCAGTGACCAGTAGAGTTCAACCGGGTCACTGGTGAGGTAGTAACTGAATGATGACAATGGTGGATGTGTCGCTCAATTTCGTGGATTGTTTGAAGTCAGACATTAGCACCATTGGATGCCGGCTCAGTGGTCTAGTTGGTTAAGCGCCTGGCGAGAGACTGATAGGTCCTGGGCTCTAGTCCTGCGAGGCGAGGTCGTGGATGTGCACTGTTGAGGAGTCCCACAATAGGACGAAACGGCCATCCAGTGCTTCCAGGTTTTCAATGGTGGTCTAGCTTCAATTGACCTATGATCTCAACCGTTGAAATATAATATTCAGTACACTTTGTATTGTTCATTTGAATCTTCCCATCGATTTTTAGGACTACAATTAATTAGTCTCATTGATATATGTATATCCTGTACAGATTGCCCTGATATTGACTTAAGTCACAAGCATTACAAACAAAGATGGATAGTAGCTAGCAGTGGAATTTAGGACGCGCGTTTTGTCCTATTTGGGACTGGTCAGCTGGATGTACCTACACCCCGTATGCAGGTATATCCAGTACGTTCTGGATTCCACTGCTAGCTATTATCCATCTATGCTTAGAATATAACATTTGTTAACTGGAAATTTATCACCGCCTAAATTAAGTTAAGTATTAAAGGGTTGCATGTAGGATATAAAAAAAAACTGAAAAATTATTTACAAATGCATACTGAATAGGGAAAAGATATTATTAACTAAATGTTCTTCCCAAAATTACTCTTAATTGGATGAGATATTAGTTGATCAACTGTTCCATATGTAGGATATATACATGGTAGGTGTAGTATCTATGTTCTATAGTCAATTTTACTACTTTTATACAAACAAGGTTTACTCCGTAATGTCGGATATAAATATAAATATGTGCAAATGAAAAAACAGACTATGTACATAATGTGTACTCTGTACGTTTATAAGAACCGTATAGAAGCCTAATAATGTTAATAGCTCTGATAATTTTGTTTCCAAAACAAACATCTACATCAATATGCGATTCAAAATTGCGTCGTACGACTTTATGTTAAAAGTAAAGATCAGATCAAGTCTATAAGACTTACTCCTTAACAAACATCATCATATATGAACAGATAAGATTCTTACTTCTATACAGACCCAAAAAGCAGATAGACATTTACGTAACATTTTAAATGGAAAGAACGTTTAAGTAAATAAGCTAAAAGTTGTTTTATCTTATGCCCCATCAAATATCACGTGAAATAGTCACCAATCAGAATACTGGTTCATATGACTTTGTTCCTTTGCTAAACCAATGACACGTTAAGCAAAACCACCAGTCTTGAAACAACTCTGTGTCCTTATTGGTCCTTGATGTAGTAGCTTCTCGCCTAGCCCAGCCCATTCAGTTTAGATCACAATCTCAGCTTCCGCTGCATGAATCACATTTCAGATATACTTGGTCCATATATGAGTAAACCAGACCTTATGAAGCCAAAAGTTACTGTGAGTGTAGGATACTGTAACTGGTAAACTGGGAATAAGTTAAGAATAGTAAATCGTATAATAATAGCCAGTAGACCAAATGGAAGCTTATGATAAAAAGTATATATATTCCAGTCACTTAATAATTATCCAATAGGAATATATTTAGTAATAGTCCATAATTAATGTCTACCAGTTCATTTATTTTTCGTTCCGGTAAAACAAAAGTAGACTAATTTTTCAGTATTAGTCTTTCTTATTCTTCCGTTAGATGATCATCCGATTCAGATAATGATATGCATTATTCCTATATACAAGTCCAACCTATTACTCAAGTGTGTAGACACGAAGTGAAGAGGTTGCTTTACTAATAAACTGAACTGAAGTGCTACCAAACTCGTGTAAGAAATGGAGTAGATCGTAATATAAGGAATTTTTACAAGCTTTTTCTGAAATCTTACATCCTATGAACTAAGTTTCTCTGTTTTTCTACTTATCCACCATGAATATTTGCGTAATTGATTACGTAATAGATCATCATCTTTTTAAATGCATTAACAATACAATTGATTGAAGTGGGAAAAAAACTGACCTACATACACTGAATTCAGTCTATACCCCATCAATATTGATCACACCCTATAAACTAAAAAAAACTAAACTCTACAAAGGTTTTCGTCTCACACAACGAAGGTTGATATTTTTCTTAGAAACTACTGATTTTAATATTCCTAAGCTCTAAGGATTATTTATTTGTACGGGGTTGGGGGAATTTATGGAAATAGTAGATTTTTCATAGTTTAAATAACGAACTGATCTTATTGGGATCAACATTAAAAATCAAGAAGCACTGTGTTGTGATTACTCACTATTAAGAAGTCCTGTACTAAGAAGAAACAGTTGTCTAATACTTCCAGGTTTTTAAAGATAATGTAGCTAAAACCAAATCGTGATTTAAATTCAGGAAATGATTTATTTCATCAATAGATTATATTATTCTCGTGGATGGGCACTGTGAGGAGTCCCATACTAAGATGAAACGGCCGTCTATTGCTTCCAGGTTTTCCATGGTAGTCTAGCTTCAATTGACTCATGATTTCAACTAGTGAGATTATATTATTGTTTTGATTCATTTAAGTTTACCCAATGCCCAATAAATAATACAACTTGAAGGCAAATATAATAGTGAATTCTTAGGAAGTTTATTAATTCATTTGTTTATGAAATGTTTAAAATATTAAATATGATAAATCATGATGATAACCGTTGTTAAGATACCTAATGCATTGAAATGAACTGAACAAATTAAATTACTTGAATAAATTCAATGTTAAACGGATAATATGTATGTATCATCTTTTGTTTCTTGACGAGCCAATACTTCCTATAATGAAATATATAAATATATATGAAGATATAATTTTGTATTTTGTAGGAATACTAAAGGTATATATACTTCAGACAAGGGATCCTTTGTGTAACGAATTTATTGTCAAGCTTTTCATCTAATCAACTCATATTGATGTTATGTATGCTGGTAATATTAGCATTTACACTATATAACCTGTGGTTGAGTTTCGTTCACTGAGCTGGAGTGTTTAATCGTGGAGCTTTGATTATTCTTCCAAACATCATCATCAGCGCAACCTTCCGGTAGAAGTGAGGTCCCGACCGTAGCTGCTACCTTGACGCGGTGGTCGGGCTTGCCTATCGTGATGACCCAACCGAACTATATTGACTGGAACATATGTACCTGTAGGTTCTACCATGCCAGGCAGGTCGATTGGAGAATGGTGAGACTAAAAGGAGCAACTTAAGGTCTGAGGGCGAAGTCGTACTGCTGACTGTAGAGGGGTGTGACAGCAGTAAGGTGTTTCCCTCGGACAACCAGCATCTACAGCGATGCTGCCTTCTCACAAGGAAGGAGGAGGTTAGAAAAGGTTGACCCTAAAAATGTCACACCTCACCTTACCTCACGGATATCCGTCTCCGGCGGTAAGGTCATTTGAAGAACGGAGCTAACACGTCAAAAATCTCCCCAAAAAAGGCCATGCGCGACCGGCCTCAAGCAGTTGTCCCATGGGCTCTTCGATCACGCCCCCAGGCCGTTAAGGCCGACATTAATCCAAATTCCTTTTCAGGTTCCTCAAGAAATACCCTTGCACGGTGTGGACAGCCGGGAAGTGACACCAGCCCTCAAATCCGTAACAGCACGAGAAGTGAGGTACTTGAATTTTTCCACATACAATTGATGGCTAATCCTGTTGACCTTGATTTTGAATAGTTACTGATGACCTTTAACCTGTCGTTGTTTACATAGTTATTTTGATTGTTACTCTCGTTGATCTGATTCTCGACCCCATATTTGTCCCCGATATATTTAATTTGTTAACAAGTTGAAGCGGTTTTTATGTATTTACTGATTTCTGATTGGTCTGAGTGTCAAGATTCTGAAAATTCTGTGATCTTGTTAGGATTCCCTCTATCCAAAATCTTAAGACTTTCCTAATCGAGCGTATATCCACAATCATCCACATACACTGATGAAAACGGAGATACATCATGGAATTAAACAGCTAGTAGATGTTCATGCAGGCGTAAATGAAGAGGGTGGCCACTTTATCAGTTATAATGTTTATTTCATTGGGAACAGTTTATTTTGTAGATGATTTTCTTGTCATTTCATCCTTTGATTTGGTTGAAGTAATTCTGCTGAGTATTAAAATCCTTCCATTACACCACCAGATCCATAATTTGCACACAATTTTTCAGGGAATTCGACCTTAGAACTCCATATACGTAAAGATACTAAAAACAGTGATCGAATGTATGAAGCAGCACACAAATTTAACTTTCACTCATCAATAAACTTACTTTATCTATTGATTCATGTTTACTCTCTTCTTCTATTAACATTTCAGACGTTTTCTAACGAAAGAAAAAGCACATTGGAAACATATGTATTCCTTGAAGCTCTTTTTATTCAAATAAGTTGACTTAAATTCATTAATGTTATAGTTTCCTAAGAGTTCATCAAATCATTCGATTCATTATTATTGAGTAATTCTAATGTCAACTATTAAAATGAGATTTTTTTAAAACAATCTACTGGTAGTAATGATACTAAATTAAATTCCTATTGGACACTACGAAGCTATGGACAACAGTCTCCTTTAGGTGTCAGATCACTGAAGATCACATATTTTACAACCCCACCGATAGAGATCAAACTCAACAGCCATATTATAATCAAATTTTATTTTATTAACTCTCAGTTTGGTCGTTTTTCAGTTCACATAATTTCACTGTCTATTTAGAAACTATTTCATGATTATATACATATATATAATTTAAGAGTTGAATTCATAAATCGATCGAAGCTAGACCACCGTTAGAAAGCTGGAAGCACTGGACAGCCGTTTCGTCCAACTGTCGAACGCCTCAGCAGAGCGTGCACCAACGGTTCTGTGGGTGGGACTCGAATCCAGAACTCTCGGTGTCGCGCGTGCACCACTAACGACCAAACCATTCAGCCGGTCTCCAACGGTGTCATTGTCTCACCTCAGTCGATCCATGATCCATCTATCACCGAAGGTTACTGGATAGAGACAAATCAGGTCAATGTACAGTGTATGATTCAACAAACATAGTCACTCACATTCAATTGACTTATTACAATAAGAAATATGATTATCAAGAAACCAAACAGAGTTATTCCAGTTTGCAATATCATAGAACTTGGGGAATCTTTCCACTTTGGATGAAATTGTCTCACAATAACTGTGATGTTGACTAGTGTAAATGAAAATATTCCAAATATCGCTATCATGAACTGAATACTTCTTGAAGATATTGAAACTTTTTGATCATTTCTGTTTTTTTCAGACTAGAGAAAAACAATACCATTGAAATATTTAATCACCATATACTGAGCATTTTGAAAACTGCATTTTAACGCAACAAATATCGTCAGAAGGATCGAAAGACAGTTAATTCATTTCTGAAGGCCTAAAACGTCCCACTTTTGGTTTTAAGTACTGAAATAGAACTGTCTCTTTTCGGCATATGTGTATCCTATGCAAATTACTGAGTTATTGCCATCAGTCACATAGATTTCCAAGCACATATGAATAGTGTCTAGCACGTGGATCCAAGACTAGTGTTTTGTCAATAGCTAAGTGGATTACTTATTAGGTGTTTTAGACAAAAGCCACTGATTTCAGTGCCGGTGTGAATATCAACACAAGTGCGGGTACATCCACTTGACGAGTATGGGAAAGACGAAACATATCTCTTGAATCCCACCGCTAGCCACTATCTATCTGTATATAAAAAAATTTAAAAAGTTGTTGTAAGGTAATAGAAGATAATTTACTAAATACATTTCAGAAGTTTAACGGATTGTGTTCAAACATATCTACAACACCAAGACTACATATTTTTCACCTAAGTTATCTAACCTTAATATACGCGACTCCGTCATATTATTCAGATAAAAGAATATACATTACTTTCAACTACTGGGTGATTAACTAAACTTCTAGGGGATTTGCTCAGATAATTTTGCAAGTTATTTAGTGATGAATTAATTTACTTAGTAACAAGTTCTGATTTAAAGCTATCAACCTTAAAACGTAGCTGTACAATCTATTTGTTACTGAGTTGTTATACCTGTTAATCTATACATTTAAAAGTTAGTATTCAACCTTTAGTCATGAGATATATTGACAGATAGATTAAATAATGAAAGGCTTCATTATTAATTTCAGTTATAGCCAATTTCTTCAGGGTGTGTCAAAAGTTAAATACTATGATAACTAGTAAAAAAGTTACTCCGTTACAAACGTTACTTGCTAAACTTTGACAATAATATTAAACGAGTGAGGATAAACTCCACTCTCGTTCGCAATTTTTCCCTTATACCTGGCAGTCAACAAAAATGAAGCGGGGATTATTATTTACACTAACGCAATCCATGATGGAGGGAGCGTTTCGTTATCTGTCGTTTCTTCTGGCTTACATAAAAAATATAAAGTTTTCTTCGACGAAAATATCACTCTGTCATGCTACGGACGTGTCAAGTGTAGCCCACTCAGTCATGATAGAGGAAAAATGACAACATAGCAAAAGTCATATCGCCAAATAATCCCATAATATAAATTAGTCCAATATATCTACAATTGAGTGACTAAATAAACCACAAAGTAACCGTTATCACTGACTACACTACATTCAGATGAATTGGCAACGTAGTGTTTATCCCCAGAACATTAAACCGATTCTGCTTTAAATTTTCTTCGATTGCGATCCCATGAATTAAAGTAGATTTTTTCACACCTTTCCCCTTGCTCTTCACAAACCTGTCGTCGAATAGTATTGATAGTTCTAAAGAGGATTTTACAGGTTATTATTGTTTCAATGTTGATATAAAAGCCAATAATTTGTGTGATGACGAACATTTAGATAACAATAAGTCCGACTAGTCACGCCATTACTACTTCAGATTCATGCTGTTTCTAGTAACGTTTCCGTCGCTGGAATCGTTTAGTCATACAGTAAGAAACGTTAAGATGGTAACGTTTTGTCATTGATGTCAGAATGGGAAACCGCACATAAGGATTGGTCGTAAAGCTGCCAGAAGAAATCCTAGTCGTTCCCAAAGAACGAGGTAAGTGTGACAATTTTATAAGGTTGTTTCTCCTAATGCTTCATCAGAATGCAGATTCATATTTTCAAAGGAGACAGTTGGATGTCGTGCTTTACTTTGTAGAAACGTAAACCACAACCATAAATGAAATTCATTGGTTTATCACAATAGATCATGGATTCCATGGATGATCATAATGAATTAGTGATTGTGAAATTAAATCATTCAAAAACTATGTAGTTGAATTCAGAGGAAATCCTGCTTGAGTAACTTGAATTTTAGAGACTAATCACTAGTGATAATCTTAAAACTCATCTCTTATGGTAAATTTCAAACACATTTTATTATAACAAACTACAATACTGTTTAACCAAGTCATTTTCTTGTACACTTGTCTTTGTACGATATCTTAATATTGTAACCGCTTCTATGCTGTTATAAACCCATGTGACTGATCTTAACAATTGGACAAACTTTAATAACTCAGCGTATTACTACTGTGTCAATTCTACCATCCTTGTAATTTTATCCTATCCATAGAATATTGTGAACTTCAGTATATATATACCTCTTATATTCGTGTTCTTGTAATCTTACGCTAACACATCTCATATATGCTTCCGTGTGTTTTTGCTTATACACTTATTGTTTTTATCCAATGTCTGTCTCTTTGTTGCCCCATGTATTATTTATTTCGGTTTAGATTATAACTTGCCTTGAATAATATTTTTAGTAAGTATAGCTGACTTCTCCAATCCTTATCGAGGAGAATGTATGAAATATGGACAACCGGAAGACTCCTATTCGACTTTGTTTTTGTCTATACTGTTATTAAAGAGATTTGTCAACGGAGTATATACGATTTATGTGGAATCTTTATTTGATCTACATCATAAAGACTGTCCACTGAAGTTCTTTGAAATCTTATTGAAGTACAGTTCCCTTCATAATGTAGGCAAAGTAAGACTGTGATCAAATTTATCTTTTATATTTTAATACATAATCATGAGTCATTTGAAGCTAGATCAGCATGGAAAACCTGGAAGCACGAAACGGCCGTCCAGTGCTTCCAGGTTTTTCATGATGATCTAGCTTCAATTGATTTATGATCTCAACCACTGAAATTACTATAATATTCACGAAAACCCTTATGATATAATCTTTTCGTTTGTTATTTATTTACATGGTGAAATTATGTAATCAATTGTTTATTTGTAAATATACGTATCTGGTATTTTGACAAGCATATAAGAAATATCAAGTGAGACAGTTATTTACAGTAGGTAATGAATGAAGCTTGTGAAATATTGCAAATTGATTGGAGTTAGGCATGTACACCGTCGGATGCCCGCTTAATGGTTTAAAGGTCAATCATACGTGCGTGAAATTGAAAGCTGTGGGTTCGACTCCTTAAGGTGAAGTTGGGGATATGTACTGCTGAGTAACCTTATACTCAAATGAAACAGAAGTGCAGTTCTTCCAGGTTTCTAAGACTAGTCTAGCTAAAATTAGCTAGTTACTTAGACTATCACAATTCTATCATCTTTACCGATCCCTTTATACTAATATAAAGGATGTTCTTGATTACAGATAAATTTATGAATGAACTTGTTAAGAGAAGAACTCTTTCATTAAACTATATTAAAAGTTAATTATCAAGCAAACATTGATAAGTTGTTTTATATTATTTCAAAATTTTAATATTAGATTATAACACTTTTCAAGATGCTAAAGGAAGTTTAATTAATTATTTCTGAATATGAAATGTATAGTTTAAAAAAGCAACTGGTCATTTATTGGGTTATGTATGGTAGATTTATACAGAATAATAAAGTTCAGTGGATAATATGAGTTAGATACTTTGTATCATATGACTCATTCTCTGTTAATTGATTATACATATGTATGAGGGTTGTGGAGATTGTTGACTGTTATCGAGATTGCAAACCGACCTAAGTTAGAAAACTAGTGAAAACCTGGAAGCCTTAGACAGTTGTTTCGCCCTAGTTTGAGACTCTTCATTTGTATATCCACGACCTCACCATCGAGGGTTGACCCTAGAAGGGTGTCCACTATATTCAATGAATCATGGTTTGCTAGTATCGTAGAATGACTAAAGTTGGATATATATACCATTAGAGCCGAACTCAATGGTCTAGAGTTTAAGTGTTTCTGAAGCGGCGGGTTTGTGAATATGTACTGTTCCGGATTCCCATACTATGACAAGAAAGTTGTCCACTACTCTCAGATTTAAAATGATTGTTTAACTTAGGTTCCTACAATTGAAGAACATATGGAATTCGAAACAACTTTCAACCAATATCAAAGTGAGAATCTTCAATACCAACGTCAAGGCAGTTCTACTGTACGGAGACGAAACTTGGACAACTACTAACATCATCATCAAGAAGGTACAAGTATTTATAAATAATTGCCTACACAAGATACTCAACACCGATTTGTCGGATACCATCAGTAACAGCCTACTGTGGGAAAGAACAAACCAGCTTCCAGCTGGAGAGGAAATTAAGAAAAGACGATGGAAATGAATAGGACATACATTACGCAAATCATCGAACTGCACCACGAGGCAAGCCCTAACTTGAAATCCTTGGGGAGAAGCGGAAAAGAGGAAAGCCAAATAACACATTATGTCGGGAAATAGAATCAGATATGGAAAAAGATAAATAACAACTGGAAAGAACTAGACAGGATTGACCAGGACAGGGTTGGATGGAGAATGCTGGTGAGCTAGTAGCTTATGCTCCTTCACGAGGAGTAACAGACGTAAGTAAGTTTAGCTTAGATCTATTCATGATTTTGATTAACCTCATCTTAATTCTGATTGTTCATAATAAATAAGCTTTAAAATAGATAGAACATTTTACTTGAAATGATCAACTATAAACGAGTGAATAAATCAACTATGATTTATATGTGAATCAACAATTAAAATGTACAAATAATTCATAACACTCAAATCCTCTCAATTAGCTTACCATTTTGTAAAAGTCCACAGTAGTTGTTAACTGTTCATTGTATACAACTTTGAAGTTTGATATAGTAATAATTATGACGACCTTTGAGTCGACTATAAAAAAATAGATGAAAAACTTAAGAATAAAAACAAAAACAATTTTCAAGTGTTTTAATCATGATAGTTCTATTGATAATGTACTTGAATTGATTAAGATAAGACTTTAATTTAATGATTTTTATAATTAATATAAATTACATAATTATACTTTATTCCATATTCAATGTACTCTATGTATTATAGTAATAATAATAATAATAATAGATTCTATGATGAGGTACCGAAACAATGTTTTTATTTAATATCAGATGGGTTTTGTGGATATTATAGTAATTTCAATGGTTAACATCATGAGTCAGTTGAAGTTTGACCACTATGGAAAACCTGGAAGCACTGAACGGCCGTTTCGTCCTATTGTGGGGCTCCTCAGTAGTGCGCATCCACGACCTCGCCCCCAGCGAGATTCGAACACAGGACCTACTGGTTTCGCGCGCGAGCACTTAACCACTAGACCAGTGAGCCGGCATCCAATGGTGTCAATGTCTAACTTCAACTAATCCACCAGTGTCTTCAGTGAGTTACTATCTCACAACAGACCTGGTTGAACTCCACTGGTCACTACTTCTCACTAGAACTTCAGGATATAACTCGTGAAGCCAGTCACTAGTGAGCATATGTTGATTGTTGTTGTTTGATAACGAAAAGTTCATTTAAAATTTGAAATAATTAGTCCTTTTGATAAATTTCGATAGTGTAATAAGAAGATGAAGATTATATGAAACTATGTGATATATTAGCCTCTTTATTCTATATAAAAACCGTTTAAATTCACTTGGTGTTGTTTTACTTGTATCTTCCCATTGTTATTTAGGACTGTAATTGATCAGTCTCTTATTGGTATATGTGCATTCTGTGAGGATTGCCTCGATATAACCTTAAGTCACAAGCTTTTTAAGCAAAGATGGATAGTGGCTAGCAGTGGAATTCAAGACGTGCATTTCGTCCTACGTGAGACTCGTCAGCTGGATGTACCTGCATCCCCGAGTGGATGTTCACTCCGGGACTCGAACCCAGTGCCATTCAGCTCCAAACACCATCGCGATATCCACTTAGCTACAGAGTCCTGATAACCACCTACAATTTTAATAGTGTAATAAAAAGATGAGGATTATGCAGAACTATGTGATACGTTAACCTCTTTATTGTATATAAAAAATTTAATTCTCATTTTGAACCTACTCTGGTAATATTAATTTATCATTCAGCATGGTGAGTTTTATATTGTTTTTCATATGATATACTTTATTATCTTGATTTCTTTTTACCCTCCATTTTTAGTTCATTCGACCTTTTATTTTTAAATTCTGAACAAGTAACTGTATGATAAGATTGTTCGAAAAGTATTGCTCTAATATTTCACTTAGTTCTAATGATCTTCGTCATTTAAAGTTATTTATTGCGACATTTTTTGAGTCAAAGATGAAAATAGGCTGAAAAATATTTTCCTTTTTCTAAAAACTCAAATCTTTGAAGATGGATTGAACGTTATAAGTTTTGGTGAATTTGACCTAGAAATAATTAGTTGGACAATCTAAATAGTATTGTGATGTGTGTTACTTATGTCGACAAACATAAGTAGTATGCAACATTAATCGGAAGTGGAAAACTTGGCGGCAGAAGGTAAAGAAGATTGAAGTGAAGAAAAAAAGGGAAATAGAAAGGGATTGCGAAATGGAAGAATCATACAGAATGTAAAAGACAATTGGTGGAAGATTTGTAAATGAAGTATTTAATGTATGGCTCTCATATTTTACGAAGATATCTTGTAATTTTGTATTAAACAAACTGGTTGTATCCAGCCGTGTTCTCGTTCATCAAAGTACTTGTTGTTACAGAAACATGTAATGGTTGTCTAGAAAAATACCGTACATCTAAGTTATTGATTTATCAATTCAGTAACATAAATCCATGTCACCGGTCTTTTTTTCACTACGTGACGTTGGATTCAGTATCAGAAACAAGTCAGATAACCATTTTGCAGATATAACCGTGACATACATAACAGAATAGGTTTTAAATGCCTTCATATTACAGTATAATGTTACTGTAGTTTGTGGATATATTAAAATGTAGTTTAACCAGTGATTTTCTATACATAATATAGCATCGTTAACTCTCTCATTGGAATGAAATTATCTCCTCTTCTTTTTTTTCTTAAACTGCTTACTGATGCGTTGACAAAAACATGAAATTGTTGCTATATTTCAAATCTCAGCCTACGATCCAATCTTAAGCAATTATTCATAATAGGTTCTGGGTTCGGATCCCGTGAGCGGGATCGTTAAAGCACACTGTAGAGGATTCCCATGCTAGGACGAAACGGCCATCCGGTACTTCCAGATATACCATGGTAGTCTAGCCTTAATCGACTCCTGAATTCAACTATTAAAATTACTACAATATTTACAAAATCCTTTTCTAATTATCCATGATTTTGAAAAGAACAAAAAGTAGATGGATATTTTTAAATAATTTAAACATTGAAATTAACTAGACTTCAGTTTTATTTATACTAAAATACATTTTCAACAGAATTTAAATGCTAATTTATAGAGGAAATTGAGTTAATCGAAGGTATTCCACTTTTTAAAAATGATCAACAGAAAACTAACTATTGTAATATGACTTACTGTTCGTAAATTGTTCCCGGTTTATTACTTAAAGCTTTTCATATTCACAATCACTTTTGTGTTGTTTGGGTATGGTTGTAGTTTTTCATTGTATGGTACGATGTGGTTCAGTATGTTTGAATGAGGACCCACATTTACTTGAAATATAATAACAATGGCGTTGCATGCTGGCTTCTCTTTGGATTCAAGACCAGGAGTAGGAAAAAGCTTGGAAATGTCAGACCAACAGGAGATTATTTTACACAAGCTCAAGGTTAATGGTGTTGGTTTGACGTATAATTGATTAGGTCTAAGACACTAGGCCATAGAAGAGATCGTAGACGGGTCATAATAGATTTTTGTTTGGTAACTATGATATGTGATATCAGTCAGCATCGCAAGCCACAACAACCATTGATATAAGACACATAGTTGGACGGAACAGCTGGGATTATGATAAACTGTGATATGTAGGTGTTATTTACAAAGTTTCTGAAGCTAAAAGTGTATATACTGAAGGAATAGTGTTCATTTTTCATGAAAGAGCATACAAGTTGAGTTTAATATCTGCAGGTATTTAAAAGGTTAAGGGTTAACTAACGGTATAACAGCAAAATATAATTAAGATTAGAAAACAGGTGATAAGTCTAAGGAGAGTAGCAAATTATGAGAATAATCTATACAATCAAATATGAGATAAGGATAGCAGGTTAGTTTATAGGATGCACAGTTAGATATAAAATAAACTGGTCCTGGGTTCGGTTCAATAGTAATAAAATACAGAACAGTAAGGTGAAAGTATCCAGATCTTTAGTTACTGCAAGCTTTCTACTCGGTAATGTAGCTGCCAAAGTATTATATAACACTTTATCTCTAATTCGTGTAAATTTAATGAGAATGGCTCATTTCTATTGAAAAATCCAACTTCAAGATAATGCGAGATGCACACAGAAATAGGTTTTTTAAATTATACTTTTTTAATATGTAAGTAGTATGAAATATATAACAAAAGTATTTCCTCAAATAGATGGCTAACATGGAACCCAAGACTAGCGTTTCGCCCTATCTGTAACTCGTCAACCATGTGTACCTACAAACCCAGGATTAATCTTCACTCATGGACTCGAATCGCGCATTTCTCACTTGAAACACTATCATTTTATCCACTAGGCTACTGTATACTGATAGCCCCTGGCTTATGAAATTGATAGCATTTTATTTCACATGTATTTTTTGAATTTTTTATAGAGTTTTAGGACTGTACAAGCCAGTAGCTATATAGACTCGGTAGCCAAGAGAATAAACCGGTGACGTTTGAAGCGAATAATCCTGAGTTTGAGTCTCGGAGTGAATATTAACTCTGTGTTCCTAGGTACATTCAGTCAACAAGTCCCAAATAGAACGAAACGCGCTTCCTGGATCCCACTGCTAGCTACCATTCATCTCTGCTTATAATAATTATGACTTGCTGGTAATATTGAGGCAATCCTGACAGGATGCACATTTGCCGAAAGATACTGATTAATTGAAATCATAAACATCGATGGGAAGTTTCAAACAACCATTACATATGAATTATTTTCTAGTAAATAGATTAAGACGTCATTGGCACAATTTCCGAAAACTTTTAATGCCAGGAAAATAGAGAATATCTTAAGTTGGAAGTATGGAAGTAAAAAATTTTTACTTAAACAATTCGTAGCAAACAAAGGTTAACATTAATTTATTGCCAAATATGGAAAAATTAAAAGGAAGATCAGGTCAATGGTAGACTCAAGTATTAAATAGATTGTATTCTGCTGAAATGAATTACATCAAAAAGTTAATGTCTAGATTCATTAAAGAAACTGAAAGTTTCATATCATTTGTATAAAATAATGACTTGTAAAATGTATCCGTCTATAAATACATAAAATTCAATGAAAACAGTGATTATTTTATGGATAGTATCAAAGATACTATTGTTGTGTGTGCTAATAATATCGACATATGTAGTATATAACGCTGGTCAGGGATAGAATATCTGTCATCAGAAGGTCAAGAAGATCAAGGAGGAAAGAACAGGAACAGATAGTAATTGGTATGGAAATGAAGGAACATTGAAGTCTGAGACGGTTGACTGATATTTACAAAAAGAACAGTCAAGTTTGAGACCATTGATTGACAATTTGCAAATAAGGTATTTACAGTATGATTCTCAGATTTATTAAAATGTTTTGCAATTTTGTATTCAAATGTATTTGATTGTCCCCCATTGTGTTCTCGTTCACTACACTGTATACCTAAATACAATATAGGAAAAAGAAAATCTATCTTTATATCGTACATTGACTTGTAGTGATTTTCTTTCAGTTAATCTTAACACATTTCCATGAATTCAGTTTA